GCTAATAGCATCTAAAGACTCAAAAGAAATTAAAAGAGTTAAAGATAGCTTGAAGAGAGAATTTGAGATGAAGGACCTTGGAGCAGCTTCAAGAATACTTGGAATGGACATTATTAGAGATAGAGAGAAAGGAACTCTAAAACTTTCACAAGGAAAGTATTTATTAAAGGTGTTACAGACTTTTAATATGACTGAGAGCAGAGCTGTGGTTACTCCTATCGGACCACAATTTAAACTTAAAAGTTTGACACGAGAAGAAGAAGTTATGGAGGCAAGGTTTATGAATGTAATACCCTACGCATCAGCTGTTGGAAGCCTAATGTACGCGATGGTGGGATCTAGACCAGACTTATGTTTTGCGGTAGGTCTGATCAGTCGCTACATGAGCAAACCAGGAAGGCTACATTGGGAAGCAGTTAAGTGGGTGTTAAGGTATATAAAAGGAGCACTAGACTCAGACCTAATGTTTACTAAAGGAGACGAGTTTAAGGTTCAAGGATTCTGCGATGCAGACTATGCAACCGACCTGGATAGAAGAAGATCGGTTACAGGTTATGTTTTTCAAGTCGGAGGCAACACAATAAGCTGGAGATCAGGTCTCCAACATATTGTTGCACTATCAACGACTGAATCGGAGTATATGGCATTAGCCGAAGCTTTTAAAGAAGCATTATGGCTTAAGGGATTTGTTAGTGAATTGGGATTCAAGCAAGAAGATGTGAGAGTGTTTTCGGATTCACAAAGTGCTATACACTTGGCTAAAAATGGAGGATTCCATGAAAGAACCAAGCATATAGATACTAGACTACACTTTATGAGAGACGTAATTGAAGCTGGCAACGTTACGGTTCATAAGATTCACACATCTATCAACCCTGCGGATTTCCTAACTAAGTGTGTACCTGGACAAAAGTTCGAGACATGCTTGGAGATCCTTAAAGTCTTGCCATAATAGGCTCGGGTGGCTGCAGGTGACAATACTGTCGAGTTGATCACCTCGCGGAAAAAGCCACAAATACAAGTATCAGTTTCGGGAAAAGTAAACTGATGATTCGACAGGTAGTTATTACAGCTTGGGAAAGATGAGTTCAGATGATTACCTTGAAAAGGAATGAAGTCTGTAGACAGGAGTTGTCTACACCGCGAACCTGCAAAGAATTCAATACTAGTCAAAGAATGTCTACGCAGAAAGATAAGCTTCAAACAGAAGCTGGAAACATCATTCGGAAGAAAAGAAACAAGTTCTCACAACAACACTTGAATGTATCAACAAACGTATGTTGATAAGAAAGTTCAAAATATTACCTTTAGAAGCTGTGGTAGTGAAGAGACGTCTACACTGTGAAGAGCTGGAAAAATATTCAACAAAGATTGACTATTAAAGCTTACAGCCGAAGCAAGGGTGGTTAAAGAGAGTTTTGAGTACATGTTTTTTTTTATCAAAGCCAAAAGGAGATACCTTTTAATCTGGAGTATCTATTTTGGTCGTGTTGAAGACAAGATTCGTCGACGGTAAAACACAAGGAACTCGAAGGTTAAACTCATCTGAAGGAAGAAGCTGAAACAGAAATCAAAGGTTAGAGGTTTGTTCATATGTCTAAAGAAAAGGACAAGGAAGAACATAAGAAACCTGAGATGGCGATGGCGAAGGCGGAAGAAGCTTGCGCGGGTGGAGACGATCGGCGGTGGAAGTCAGATCTAGTCTTGGTCACAGGGAATCGAGGAAGTGTTCGGAAGCAAAGAGCAAGGATCGGAGAAGGCATGCATCTCCGATAAAGCACCATCAAAGAACAGATGGTAAGGAAACGAGATGGAGAGTTTTTTCGTCAGAGCTTCACAGAGAGAGAGATGGAGAAATGAGAGAAGCGGAGAAGTCGAGAAGACCCAAGAGTCAAGGTGGAGAAATGTAAGGCCTTGGTGACTATTGGGCCATCCGATGGGCTTCGGGAAAAGGACCTGCAACAAGACACAAGGTTATTAGTCCAAGTCCATTAAGGAATATAGATTCCTTATGTTATTAGGATAAATGTGTATTCCTTTTACAACAAGGAATTACATTAGCATTCTAGTATAAATATAGGTCTTTCATCTCATTGTTAGAACACAGAAAAACATTATTATCTCTAGGGAACACTGCTTGTAATTGTTTACACGATTCATAGTGACAAGAAGGTTTATCTCTGGTTAAAGAGGTGGACTTGCCAAATACGTTTGTGTTCTTGATTCGTTTGTGTTACAAGAAAGCCAGGTTGATTCTCTACAGTATCAAACAAAACCAAACTAAAACTATTATAAATTTTCTGTCTTTCATGAATTACTGAACAAATACTATATCATAAACTGGATTGTTCATTCCTTAGGGCACAAAAAAAACCTTGGACTGTTCACTCTAAGATGAGATACAAGTTTTATATGTATATAATTAAAAACAGATGTAGATATGTATGTGTAAATACTTATATATTAATAAAGGAGTACATTTACGTATATTTTTAGCTATATGAAGAAATAGAAGTTATATATGTACATATATAACACCCTGAATATAGAAAACACACCAAGTCAGAACGATCTTCACGCCTTACTTGCTAATTCTACCATTCTATTTTTAGCTATGTAAAGGAGTATGTGGTTTTCAATTTCCTTCAGCCTGCTATAAAACGGACTCTCGATTCATCATCAAAACTCAAAACAAAATAAAAATAAAAAACAAAAACAAAAAAATAAAAAATAAAAAATAAAAAATAATTTCCCTAATATTAAATAAGACAAAACCAATAAGAGAATAAAAATGGTGGGTTTGCGCAGAGCAAAGACGGTATTTATTGTATTTGTAGTGGCTATTGCCAACACAATAGCAAACGGGACACCCCTTGATCCAGCTGCACCGGGTGGAGCCAAACCAGCAGCACCGGGTGGAGCTACAGCACCAGCTGGATCACTTGACGTCAAAGCAGCAGGAGCCAA